AATAACACGAAAATAAAAACTGACAAAAACCGGAAAAACAAACGAGGGGAAAGATGCCGCTATACTTTACTTAGGGTCGGTTATTCTGTCACCACACGGTGTGTGGAGGCAGGCAGAACGACGAGGACGACAAGGATTCCAATAATGACTTTTAATGTAGACACAACAAGGCAGATTCAGGTAGGTGAGACACACACACACTCGGGGTAACATTCACACTAACCGACAAACTAGAATACAAGAGACAGGAACTGATATAGGGCAGATAACGAGGGTCAGACAGGTGAGCACAATGAGGTGATTAACTAATAATTAGTACGGGCTAAACCAACAAAAGGGGAAGAAACCACAATAAACAGTCCACAGGGGTGTTACATTACTCCTCCCCTCCCGGAAGGTGCGTCGTCGCACAGTAGAAACAGAGGGAGGGGCGGAGGGGGACTAGGTGGAGGACAAAGCAGTGGATGTGAGATGGTGACAGGGGAAGGCAAAGGGGTGGCAGGCAAACCAGACAGGTGGAGGTCCCGGCGGAGGACGACCTTCCAGGAGGAGGACGGCTAACAGAGTCCAGGGAGGTGACGATGGAGGGAGGAGCCAGGGAGACGACAGGAGGGGGAAGAAACCACAATAAACAGTCCACAGGGGTGTTACACTGCGTTGGCGAAAATTACATGTAAACAATTTTAAGGCTATTTTGGCTATGTTAATATGTTTGGATGGATCTGATTAAAACTCTAATGAAAAAGAAGTGTGTCCGCTACCAATGCTATAGTTCAACGTCATCACCAAAACTCCATATATTATAATACAAAAACTCTTATTTGAATAAATATGTTTTATGATGGTTCAGATGAACTGACATTTACAATAATATGTAAACAATCTAATGAATAACACATAAAACAAAACAAAATCGACCAGTAAACCCTGTGCGATGCAGCTGAGCTCATGCAGAGCGCGCAGGTGTGATGATGATGATGATGATGATGATGATGATGATGATGAAGAGTGATCTGCTCTCCGGAGGAGTGTCACGAGGGCTGAGCGCGGGCCGGAGCAGGTCCGGGGTCCAGCTGCACCAGTGAAAGAGCTGCAGGAATCATGGGAAGGAGGTCAGCGCTGTGCTGAGTTACTCCACACGCTGCTCTCACCTCGTTGGCAGTGTTGTGAGTTCCCACGATCGCCTGCTTGTCAAACGAGCACGTCTGCCAGGATCTGACGGGGAGAGGAGACGCCACGCTGAAGACTGAAACCTCCTGTACACCAGGCACGCTTGCATTTAGTGACGCACTCAAACTACAGTCTACTCAAACCAACATTTAGCAGGAAATCAAAACTGTAAATACACAAACGTTTTTGAACAGGAAGATTTCAATGTTGTTTAAAGAAGTCTCTTCTGCTCACCAAGCCTGCATTTATTTGATCCAAAATACAGCAAAAACAGTAATATTGTGAAGTATTTTTACTATTTAATATAACTGTTTTCTATGTGAATATCTGTTAAACTGCTGTATTTTCAGCATCATTACTCCAGTCTTCAGTGTCACATGATCTTCAGAAATCATTCTAATATGCTGATTTGATGCTCAACAAACATTATTATTATTAATATTCAAAACAGTTGAGTAATTTTTTTCAGGATTCTATGATGAATAGAAAGATCCAAAGATCAGCATTTATCTGAAATAAAAAGTTTTTGTAACATTATACACTATTCCATTCAAAAGCTTGCAGTCAGTATCATTTTATTTTTGGGAAAGAAATTATAGAAATTAATATTCTTATTCAGCAAGGATGCTTTAAATTGACCAAAAGTGATGATAAAAACATTTGTAATGTTACAAAAGATTTCTATTTCTGATAAATGCTGTTCTTCTGAACTTTCTATTCATCAAAGAAACCTGAAAAAATACTACTCAACTGTTTTCAACATAATAATAATAATAATAATAATAATAATAATAGCAAATCAGCATATTAGAATGATTTCTGAAGATCATGTGACACTGAAGACTGGAGTAATGATGCTGAAAATACAGCTGCGCATCACAGGAATAAATGATAGTTTAACAGATATTCACAGAAAAAAAAACAGTTATATTAAATAGTAAAAATATTTCACAGTATTACTGCTTTTGCTGTATTTCTGATCAAATAAATGCAGGCTTGGTGAGCAGAAGAGACTTCTTTAAAAACATTAAAACTTTTGACTGATAGTGTAACAATTAATCAGATTTATTTAATAATCAACAAATTGCACATTAGCAGTTTTAATATGGACTTTTTAATGATATTATGTTTTTACTCTAATTTGTAGAATAATCTGTGGCTGTAATAAAACTTGTTTACATGACAGATTTATTCAGACATTAACAATGTCATTAATATGTAAAATGGTGCAAATATTTATCATAATGCCCCTCTCTAGAGTTATTTTCTATGGGCACTGAATGTCTTTTCTGAGGTTATGTTTTTTGATGCATCATCACTTATTTAATTGTTTGTATTATTTTTTGTGACAGAGTCCAGTCTAAGTGAATCTCAGTGTGAGTGTGTGTCTAAATGGCTTCCTTAATAAATGTATTTGCCCTGCCAAAAACGTTTGCATGTTTGTTTTTCTGTTGAGTATCATATTTGATGCATCTGGCTTTCATCATGGCTCATATAGTCTGATATAATGAGAATATGGAGGAAAAACAGCTCAGATTTATGCAATTTGCTGCAGATGCTGATATTTATGTGATGAAATTCTAATGAGACCTTTATAACAGTACAGCAGATAATCTGTATTTATTAAAAAGGTTATATTTTCTACTTGAAGCTACACTACTGCAGCACTAATGTTTGAACCTGTTGTTTTGGATGGTGACATAAATACACGGCAGTGCTGTGTCAATCAATGGGTCAGAGATGGAAAAAATAAAGAGATGTATAATATGCCCAATTACAGCTGAGGTGAAAGTGTGAGTAGATTTCAGTCACGTACTTCCAGTACTCTGTCACTTCAGGCCCCAATATACTCACAGCATAGTACTTTTGAAATTTGAGATACCCGATCAACAGTGTACCGTTTGTTAACATTCAGGAGCCACCAATGCTGCTGGGAGCCATGTTCAGAAGAGATATGCAAATAGATATATGTTGTGTGCAGTGTTCATTCTTCAGTTTTCTCTTAAAATACATCAGGGCCTTTAAGCTGTTGCTATTGAGATGGAACGTTAATAGATAGAGACTCTAGGTAACTTGTATACTTGTATACAGTTACCTTCTCAAAACACCTGGTAGTGTTTCTCACTGCTGGCCATTAGGAGGCGCTGTTTAGTTTCTAGTGTCCGTCAGAGCTTGTCTTCATACTACCTTTGACACTGTGCTGATCAGCACCTTCATGATGTATTACGGTGACTATATAGTTCCCATGGTCATTGTTTGTAAAGGTGCTGATCAGTTGACCAAAGCGTGTGCTGCTCTGAGACATTTGTTTTCCTCAGCAGTATAAAGATCTCATCTGAAGATCAGTGGACATGTCATTGTGATTAGGCTATGGTGCTGTTATGGTGATTGTTAGTACTTTTTGGTGCTTGAAACTTGTGGCTCTATGAGGAAAAGATTTATGTTAAGATTCTTCAGATTCTCCTTTTGTGTTGTAAAAACAAGCATAGCCTATACAGGTTTAAAGCGATATAAATAATGGCAGAATGTTAATGTTCAGCATCTCGTTTAATCTTCTGAGGTCCTCTGAAAACTGTTTTTTTTTTTTTAATTTCATGACAATGCAAAAGTGTGTGTTTAAAACATTCTTTATTTTTCGTATCAGATTACATTTTTAAAACAGTTCATGCAGAAATCTGAAGTCTTCCACACTAATGACACGAATCACTGTGATGACTACCCAGGAGGAAACAAGTGCACTTAGTGTTCATTTTCACACACTCATTTTGTACTATAAATACAATTATACTAATAGTAGTATAAACTATTATACTAAAAATGAACCTACTAAGATAATCTTAAGAACATCTAAGTGTACTCAACTGTGCTATTTTGGGACACCATAAATATGAACTAAAATGTGCTTGTAACATACTTTCTCTGTAAAAAAAAAAAAGTATTTAGTTACAACTTTTGAGAGTACTAGTGTATGAAAGATGGTTTCAAGTTACAAGTGGTAACTAAATACATTTTTTAAACACAGAGGTAGTATGTTAAAAGCACATTTTAGTTCATATTCATGGTGTCCCAAAATAGCAGAGCTGAGTACACTTAGATATTCTAAAGATTATCTTTTAAAAAGTACTAAAGAATCATTTTTAGTATGTTAAGTACAAAATTAGTGCATGAAAATAGAGCACTTTAAGTACATTGTGGAAGTGCACTTTTTTTCTCCTGGGTTTGTCCACAAAATTCACAAATATGGATACATTTATGTATATGACATAATAAAAGACAGTTGTGGAATGATATTATTCACGATTAGATATTTCTAACAAGTAGTAACAGTAACAGGCTCCAGTTAAATAAGGGTGAGAGCATGACAGGTTGGTTTCAGATTAATCAATTACAGGATACAAAAAGAAAACTTTCCTTTTTGATGAACCTAATAATCCTTTGTTACGTATCAAAACCAAAAGGAAGATCATGCTACAAATAGAAGAGTAAACACGAGCATAAATAACAGATTAGGTAGACAGTTTGAGACACAGTAACAAATATACAGACACGGGTGTTTTTTAAACTAAGCTCTTTGAAGCATAATGGTGTTTATATTTACTGGAAATGTTTCCATGTATATCTCTGGAGCTCTCAGGAGAGAGAAAAGGCCTTAATCCAGCTAATCTGTAATTTCCTTGCCCACAAACCCGCTGTGTGTGTTCAGATCAGCAGTGGACGGCTCGGAGTCTGTGCTGTCTGCTCTCATGGACGCTGTGGTTGCTCTGTGAGAAAACACAAAATAAACATAGTAGGGAAACTCAAGAAAGGAATCAAAAACCAAATGGTGTTATAAAACTCTTTCAGAAACAGTGACGCTGATCTGTCAAAGCCTTTTCTGTCTACAAAATGTCTAAACAGCTTCAAAACTTGAAGGTTAGTTGAATATAAGTTCTACAGTATACTTTACTGTAGAAAGTATACTGTAAAGTATACTTTACTTTACAGTATACTAGCTAGCTAGCTGGTTGCTGTATCTGTTCTTAATGTAGGCCATCAGGACAGGTGAGATCTCAGCTCAGGGCTCCAGACAGGTGCACAGATGCTAATCTACAGGGATTGAGTTGAGCCTCACTCAGATTAACACTGCTGATGAGATTAACATGAAAAGGGGGGCAAAACCGGGTCGGGTTCTCCAGATTCACAACCCCTTATTTCAGACATTTTCTGTCATATAAGACTTGTGCTGTGAAATAAATATGTGAGCAATTCCCCTTTCGTTAAAACTTATCCATCTTTCTTTTCCTTGTCATCTCAGAGAGCCTGTTATTGTTGTTGTTGACATGGTGTCTATGTAACCTATGATTATGAAGATTCCAATCAGAACAGGTTCTTCCAGTTCTTCTGGGCTTCTGCAGGTTATTCCTCTTGACTGACATCACTTTTATATGAAGTTGAAATATTAAAAGTTTGATAGTTTGAATACAGTTATGCATCATTTTTGAAAGAGACCTTTGAAAGATTGAGGTTGACAGACAAAGAAATTATCAATTCTACAAAGAGTCATCATGCTTTCATGATGGGTCACTGTCCATGAAACCAAACGTAAATGTAAAACATCTATTCAATTTCACATAGTGTGACATTTTCAGTAAAACCTCCACTGTAGAAAGTGCTGTGTAACATGATAAAAGACACCAATGTTCAGTAAATAGTTATATTTTACAAACATTAGTAGTTGGAATATACATTCCTTCTGGCAAGAAATACAGTTGGTTAACTGCAGTAACGCTATACTGTTTACAGTTTCGAGGCAATATGGTAAATTGACATAATAATATAGAATATGATTTACAGGTGTGAGATTGGCAGCACAAACACAACTCTGCAGCGCACTTTGAATGTCAGCGGGAGGAAACGGTTCTCGCACACACAGAACGAGCAGATACGAAACGTGTAGGGCAAGGGGAGATTTTCCACTAGTTAATCGATCACGCATGGTTTCATTATTTCGGGCGGATAAAAAAAAAAAAAGATATAAATATACTTGGGCGGCCGTTAATATACCTGGGCGGCCCGCACAAGTAAAGTCTATGTGTGGGAAACAATGGATTCTTAACATTGTAAATGGTGATGGGGTGATGATCAGTTGTATGGCAAGATAGTAGCAATCTTCCCAATGATAAATCTGAGGGAAAGAGATGGGTGTTTGTTTCCTGAAATGTAGTAGCTATTAACAAGTAGCTGATATATGAACTAGTTTTAGACTAAACGAAACCACAATTATGTTGATGAAGGCGGATCAGATTAGAAAGATTTAATCAGCAGGCTCGGTCATCTTCCACTGTTTTTGTATCAGGCGCATCTGTTGTGTCTGTTTTGTACGTCACCTACTTCACTAAATCCTTGAACTATTCAGACCTATATCATGCCATACATTTGCTAGGTATTGTATCACATGCAGTGACACTGAGATACTCACCCCTCACTGGTCAAAGGCGTGACATCATTGTCCTGGCCCTGTTGTTTTTTGGCATTAGGCAATGACTGTGGCTGCTCACTGTGGGATGACCTTTGACCCGATGGACTGTGTCCCATAAAAGAAGGTTGAGGATGAGTAGTTGGCAGTCTTCCTCTGGCAGGTTCTCCCCATGGCCGAGGTAAAGTAGACGTGCATGAACGTGTCCATGTGTGGGGGAGTGATTTGTTCTCCTGACAGAACACGGCCCGAGCTTCACAAAATGATTGTGTCCCATAAGCAGGAAGGTTGTTTTCTTCGGCCATTGCACATCTGTGTATACTAGAGGTGGCAGATGTTGTGGATGGAGTCCACTTCCCACTCGGGGGGTAGGCTGTGGATGGAGGACTTGGCACTGCGTGGCGCACAGTGGGACAGGAGGGTGGAAGCCGTGCCCTCGAGACAGGTGGAGTTGTTGGAGGAAAACTTTTTGCTTGCATACTTGCAGTCTCGCCCTCATTGTGGTTTTCACATTCTTGATAAAGAGTGGAAACGTGCAAACCTGCATTAGCCGGGGCTGTTTTCCCAGAAGACTCTGCAGGCTGATGAACAACTTTGCGGCAATTCTGGTCAAGGGTGTGTGCTGAATCTCTTTCAGAATCCACCCCAATCGCTTTTTTGTATTCCTGTTCAATGCAGGAACCCGGCAAAGCATCTTGCCTCACAGGCTGAGTCATTGAGAAGCTCATGGAGCCTCGCTGTCTGCTTGCTCTGTTGGAGAGCACAGTCTCTCTTTGCATTGAAGTGCGGAGTCTTTGCCCTCTGCACTGTAAATCATGAGCCCCCTCCTCAGTGGGAAACCCTAAACTGCTTTCAAATGAGTTGTCCATGAGCATCTCTGGGGGTGGAGGTGGGAGGCTGTCTATATCCAGTTGCTCAGGTCTGGGTTTAAGCGGATGGATGCTACTCTTGATATTCCCACTGGTGGTAAGAGCTCCTCTGCTATTCTGCAGCAGTGGGAGAGTGCATTTCTTGTTGCCCCTGACTTTTATTGGTTTTTGGTCTAAAGGACTTTGTCTTGAATTGTCCTCCACCCCTTGGCTAAAAGTATTAATAAGCCTCTTGACAGCATTTCGCCCAGGTGGATCTGGAGTAAACTTTGGAGGAGAGCTTGGTGGTATTGCCCTGAAAGGCCCTTTGCTGCCATACTGGAGGCCATAGTATCGCGCTGCGCACTGTCCTCCTGATGAACTTCTTCTAATCTTTGTCCAAACATGACCCCCGTGTACAATTTCTTCTGGCAAGTTATTTTTTATCCTCCAGTGAGGTGTTTGCTTGTTCCTTGGGTTTCCTTGTTGCTGATTAGGATCTGATCCTTCTGCTTTGCTACACAAACACTCGGCGGATTGTGAGTGCTTTGGTCCCCTTAAATGGCGGTACTTTAGTTTTACCTGAAAGGTATTGTCTGCCGTTTTGGGCCGTCTGGTTTTTCTGGTCTTGACCTGGTCTTGCTTTTGAAGACTACCCTGAACTGGAGGATGGGTGGAGTCTGGCTCAAAAGACCTACACATTGTTCCCCTCGTCTTGTCGGCCAACCCACCACTGACTTCATTCTCAAGAGCTGCATCCTCCTCCTCATCATCAACCTCATCATCATCATCATCATCATTATCTGTATCCTCATTGGCATTAAGGAATGGCTGATCTGGAGAGCAACTGCTGGTCAAGACAGATACTATTCCAGTGTTTGCTCCTGATCCAGAGCTCCCTCTGTTTCGACGGAGACGCTCCGAGCCATTCTGACACTCGTTGTCTGCACCTATGCCGCTGTCCTCACTGTGAAGAGCAGAATCTTCTGGACTTGGTTTCCTGAGGGCAGCAGCTTCCACACGGGATGAGACCTGCTTCAAGCGCTCCTCTGCCGCATGCTTAGCAAGCAGCTTCTCTCCTAATATCTGAGACAGGGACCCATAGTACTCAGCTAGATCCTGTAAGGCTGAGTCACTCAGGCATTTCATAGAGTCTCCCACAGAAATCATTTTAGCTGTGGAGTGAAGAAGCATCTGCTGCAGCAGTTCGGAAGGAAGCTGGGAGAAGTTTAGTTCATTGCTGGGTTTGGTTGTTGTAGGTGGATAGTCTTTAAGTGAAGCGGGCCATGTCATGTTGTGTCCATGTTCCCTCAGCAGGTGTTCACCCTCAGAGGCCATTTCCTCCAAAGCCTGGTTAATCTCTTCATAGTGCAAGACTACTGATGCTACTGTGGTCTGTACAGAGAGATGGGTCTGAGCAGCCTGGCTCAAGAGGCCTAAAAGAGACTCATATTTTGATATGCTGGGGTTTAGGTACGCATAGGCTGCCTGGTGGGCTTTCAGTATGAACTCTGCCTTTGACTGCGCATAGGAATTTTTTCTCAGTCTATGTTTCCTTTGCTTCCTCCGCTTTCCTTGATTAACTTTTGTCCTTATCCCCTCAGTTCCTTCTCTCTGGTTTTCTAAGAGACCCTCTTGTGCACTTTGTCCATCCTGAGAGCGAAGCACATCTAGCATCTGCTCAGTAGCATTTTCTTTGGCTGTCACAATGGCGTCACAAACTACATCAACTACTGAGGATGTCTTACCTTGCGCATATTTTTCATTTTCTTGTATCTCTGTTGCTGTTAGTCCTTCTGTAGCTGTGCTTATCTCTACTTTGATTAGACGTTGTGCCCCATCAGAAAGCAGTTCCGCATTCTTGTTTTCTGGTGATGCAGACAGTGTAGCTTTTTTACTGAAAAGTTGACCTTTAGAGGGAGAGCAGCCCATGTTGATGGGAAAAACCTCTTCCTTTTGATCAGATGTATCGACTGCAGGTTTAAAAGTGTTGTGTTAGAAATCCTCAGCTTGGTTTTTGTTTGCGCACCATACCAATTGTCCTTAAAATCCTTAACTGTCAGAGTCCACAGTTCCTATCCTCTATTTCTTTGACCGTTTTCGATCAAGATTTACCACTGCCCAAGGTGATGTTTTGTATGCCATAGAGAGCCCAAGATTGAGAAACAGGACTGAAGCTTCCAGTCTTTCCCACATGCACATATGGTCACACTACAGGAATAAAGCGCATGCGTAAGACCATAAGCTCATCTTGCTAATAAGATACCCTGCTGGTTACCTCGTCTTCTTATTTTTACCCCTGGTGAATTCTGATTGAATTATCAGTATGTGAGTGTTATAATCAAAATTTATTGTAAAAATGTGAAGTGACATCAGTGTTTTCTAAATTGGTTACAATATTCATCAAAAAATTGTTCAAGTTACTGTTTCAATTTTGTTTCTGTGCTTTCAACAAACAACAGTAGTACAGATTAAATTAAGTTCAGAGTGGCTTGGAGCTGGAGTATTTTGGTAAGTTGTTTACTTCTGACTGAAATCCCCCTGGACCTCTACCAGTAATGTCTGCAATCTGCTGGCAAAGGCAAGGATTTAAACAGAATGATCCAGCAGACACTGATAACAGCATTAAAGTTCAAAGCTCAAATTAGTTTTTATTGTTTATTAAATGTAAAGACACAGTACAAAAATAGGTGTGTAATTCCTGTGCCATGGACCAGATGAAGCAACAGTGGTGTGAGTGGGGTTGATCATTTTTGAAATTACTACCAAGAAAGTAATTAAGCAGTATTCCAGACAATTTGTCACATAGTGCTTCACAGAATAAAGTAATGATCAAAACAAAGCAAAAGGTAAATCTTAACAAAGGATGACGTCAACACATAACCATACAATCATGCATATAGTCAAACAAACAAACAAACAACAACAACAAAAACAAATTTAATGTAATGAGATTAAGTAAAGACCAACTTATACAAAAGGGTTTTTAAAAGTTCCTTAAAACTGGCTTTGGGCTGAGCTGATCTCAAACTCCATGGAATGTTGTTCCAAAATCTAGGTGCAAAAACAACAAATGCTCAACCTCCCTTAGTTTCTGGTTTCAGACCTTGAAAATGAACTACCATTTTTTTAAACGATCATTAAGAACTTGATGATATGCTTTGGAGACATTAATTCTGAAATATAGGGAGGGTCTACAATGCAAATCTTAAAATGTAATGACTAAAATGGTTATATCTATTTTATATTTAATTGGTAGCCAATGTCGTGGCAGGCTAATCTGGGGTAATATGGGTGCTATGAAGAGTTTGGGTTTGAGTTTGAAGTCAGGAAAGTGTAGACTTACTAAGGCATATGTACAATGAATTACAAGATATAATGAAATAAAAACATGTAAAAGCCTTTCCAGATCTTAAATATTTACAAACCTTCAGTTTTTTTTATTATTATTTTGTAATTGATAAATACAGGATTTAACTACTTCTTTTAACATGCACATCTATAGACAAATTAGAATAAAAATAACAGTAACACTTTCTATGAAGCCCATATTTATAATACATTATAAGGGTATTCCTATGGCATTATAATGAATGCATAATGCATTATAAAAACCTTATAATATGTTATATCATCTTATAAATAATCATAACAACAATTATAATACATTATAATCATCTGATCTGATATCTGATCTTATGGCTGTTTGAGAAAAAAAAAACTATTACTATTATTATTACTACACTTATAGGTGGTCCTTGATGGCTTTAAGTAAAGTAGCATGAGAAGGATGGCAAGATATGAGACTTATAATTCATTATAACTATGAGAAATATAATCCATTGTAACTTAAGTGGATGCATCATGTTCACTGTGTGTTATACATAATCATACTCTTAAAAGCTATAACCACAAATAAGTAAATATTATAATACATTAAAACTGTTCTTATGAATATTCATAAGATGATATAACATATTATAAGCTTTTTAGAATGCATTATGCATTCATTATAATGCCTTAAGAATACCCTTGTAATGTATTATAAATATGGGCTTCATAGAAAGTGTTACCAAAATAACAACTAAATTTCTAAAAAAACCATTCTTGCATTTACCACCAGTGCACCTAGTATTGGTTTTACCATGTTTGCAATAACATCTGAACCAATTTATACACCATTACATTTAGTACACTAATTCATAAATGCAGAGTCCTTGTTTAAGTATAAATATATGTATAAAAAATGTAAAAAAATACAGCAAAAATGATTAAAACACCCTTTTAGCACCTTTAAACAATGAGTACAGTATTGGTACATTTACAATTGTAAATTCAGTTGCTGAAAGAATGCAAGACAACCTCTTTATTTTTATTGAGTAGTGTTTCTTTGTCTCAGCTTGGCATGGCGGGACACTGTTAGGTCTTTACTGCCTCTATCTGTATTAAATAAGTCCACAGTCTTTATAGAACTGGATACATCTTTAGAAAATGTGCTGATCTCTATCACCGATGCTCCTACACCTTTGCAGAAGATGCCTGAGTCTGGAGTGATTCGACCCGTCTCATCTAATACAGTGATGTTTGCATTGGCCATGTCATCTTTAACGTATCTAGCCAACCTGCCTATGATCGAGGCCCTTGAGTTCTCGGACAGCTCCCACAGGACTATGTAGCACTTTGGGACAAAATGACAAAACATTATGCCATAGTTGGAGGCCAGGATGGCTGAAGCTTGAACAATGTGCCGCTGCTCTGTCTTGTTTCTCTCAATATAAATGGGAATAAAGCAAAGCCAGACAAACAGATGAATCAACATGCTGAAGATGATGACACCAGTCTCGTTGAAATCATGGGGGACTTTTCTACCCTTGAAAGCAAGAAAGAAACAAATGAAGGCCAATAGAGCAATGTAACCATGCATCACCCCAAAACCTACAATTGAGCCCTCGTCACAGACAACGTATTTTTCCATGCCAGTTCCAGGCCACTTTAAATCTGGGCAAGGAGACTTGAAAACCAGCCAGAACAATAGGATGATACCTTGACCACCGGTAAGCAGGACCAAATTGATAAGAGGCTTGTAGAGTTTTTTTAACCTATGCTGCTTGTCCGGATCAAAGGCCATGAAAGCCAGGAAAGTGCGGTAGGCTTTAACCAGTATGCATGAGACACAGAGGGTGAAACCGAGACCGTACACGGCCTGCTGTGCCCGACACAGATGCTCGTTTGGCCTGCTGATGAACATGATTACACTGATGAAGCTGACCGCCAACCCCAGTAACATGAAACAAGACATTGTATTGTCAGCCTTTTTGATTACTATTGTGTTTCTGTGCACATAGAAAATGATGAGTGAAGTCAACACGAGAACCAAGCCTATTGCTGTAGCTGCTAACAGAGCTATGGGATAACTGTCCTTCCAATCCAGATACTTCTCCTTGAATTTCCTGCATTCACGGTCTCCCTTATTAGACCACATTCCATCAGGACATGTCAGACATTCAGGTAGATCTGAAAAAGAAAACGTGTACAGTCGTCAGATTTGTAGTAGAAATGCTGAATATATAATGCTATCTGTCCTGATGAGCTTTATTATTTTTAGCAGTTTATTATTTTTATTATTGGTACCGATATTGGAAGCATATAATTGCTCTCTGGATCTCTCTGGAAAACTTGATTGTGATTGGTCATTGGTGTTGTTAAGATGTCTGATATCCCAGTTTAGTGAGTCTAAATGGATCAGTGTGTCAGTCAGGTAAAGTGCTGTACTTTATGTTTCTTGTATTACTCCACACTGTCTGTCCTCTCAATTAATAGAATTATTCATGCTCTAATATTTAAAGTTCATCTACAAATTTTTTTGGTAAGAAGTGGAATGTTATACAGTTACTGCTTTACCTTGGGGTTCTTTTTTTTCACCATAATGACCAGCTGACTTTTAGGTAATTTATGTTTTTGTCATTTAGATTCAGGTTTTCATGTCTTTTATTTTGTATTGTCACAGTTATGTTCTTTGTTCATGTCATGAAATGCAATATTTGTTCAGTTCAACATAATCACATCCTGTTTAAATACTAATAAAGTGGGGGTATTTATGCTTTTATCAGTGTTATGATAAACGTGACTCAATATGACATTGCAACTACAGTAAAAAAATATTTTACTGTTCTAAAAACACAGATTTGTGGCCATTATTTGGAATCGAAAAGTTTAGAATAAACCCGAAACACACGTGATCGTTGTCATGCGGTGAATCTGGCCAATCGTGAAACAGCTGTGTCGTGATCAGCGCTCCTGCAGTCGCTCTGAAGAAACTGCTCTCGAATCGCTCTCGCGGCACTTTGATGCAACACGAGACAGTCACATGGCGTCGGCGCCGTCTCAAGTCGGACAAAATTTCTAACCGGCATGCACTGCTTCAAGTCAGAATTTGATCGATCTGCGCAGCACTGCGTTAAAGGGATAGTTCACCCAAAAATGAAAATGTGATGTTTATCTGCTTACCCCCAGGGCATCCAAGATGTAGGTGACTTTGTTTCTTCAGTAGAACACAAACAAAGATTTTTAACTCAAACCGTTGCAGGCTGTCAGTGAGATCGGTCTGTGCAAGAAACTGAACAGTATTTATATCGTTTTTTTACCTCTGATGCATTGCGTGACTCGTCTTCTTCTTCTTCTTGCATTACGGCGGATCGCAGACTTATAAGTACATTACCGCCACCTATCTCTCAAATGGACCATTGACACTCCAGATAGGTGGCGGTAATGTACTTATAAGTCTGCAATCTGCCATAAAGCAAGAAGAAGAAAACGCATCACGCGCCGGCTGTTGAGGACGTGCCACCGTTCAGGATAGTTCAGACATTGCGTGATTCAGAGGTAAAAAACGATATAAATACTGTTCAGTTTCTTGCACAGACCGATCGTTTTGTGTCTTTACACATCAATGTATCGTCACGAGCCGCAGGGTTTAATTTGTGTATGTTTTTTTTTTACTCTCAAAGCCGTGATTCACATTCACCTCCATTATATGACTGACAGACTGCAACGGTTTGAGTTAAAAATCTTCGTTTGTGTTCTACTGAAGAAACAAAGTGACCTACATCTTGGATGCCCTGGGGGTAAGCAGATAAACATCACATTTTTGAACGCACCTATTCTGATTTGTTCTTTGAGTCATGTGGTTCTCAGTTCTG